ATTAATCAGGAAAAAAATGAGAGATATAACCATATAATGGAGCAATATATTAACTTGAAATTAAAACCATGCATAACTGCAGTTGAAGAAAATAGTTTACGTGAATTAAAGGATGAAATTGATGTTATGAACAATGAACCTTTACTGAAATTGCAGATTAAACTTGTGTTCATCTTGATGAAACGTTGAATCCATCTCAAATATCTCATCTGTTTTCAAAACAAAAGCAAAGATCTTGTGTTACTAGCATCAGAGATAAAAGTGGTATTATTATTACAGAATCAGGAAAAGTTAGACATACAATAAAAGAGCTTTGTGAGGAAATGTGTCAAGAAATAGAAATAGATGTTAACATGTTAAAGTCCTTCTTGAACTTTAAATATAATTATTATTTTGATAATTTGGGAGATGAGGTTATAGAAAGTGAAGTAGTGTCTGCCATTAAACAGCTAAATACTGGGAAATCTCCTGGAAAAGATGGCTTGCCCTCGGAATTTTATCTAATGTGTATTTTTGACTTATCTAATTTACTTACACAGGTGTTTAATGAAGGTATTGGAAAAGGTTATATGTATGACACGTTTTATGATGGGGTGTTATCATTATTGTATAAAAAGGGTGATGCCAGTGATATTAACAACTGGAGACACCTTACTTTGATGAATGTTGATTACAAGATCTTTGCAAAAGTAATAATGAACAAATTAAATGATATTTTGGATTTAATCATAGCTAAAGAACAAACATGCTGTTAAAGGGAGAGCTATGTGGGATAATTTGAACACTTTAAGAGAACTGGTATATGAGAGTGGTGAAAGTTTTTATATTGTTACTCTTGATTAGAAAAAAGCTTTTGATTATGTCTCTAGAACTTATTTATGGGAAGTGTTTAGAATGTATAATTTTCCTGATGATTTTATTAAAATGGTCATGTGTTTATATGCCAAAAGCAATATACAGATTAATGTGAATGGCAATTTGACAGATTCCTTTGAAGTTATGAAGGGTGTAAAGCAAGGTTGCCCTCTTAGTGCAGCTCTTTATGTATTGGCAATAAGTCCTTTGATCACAAAAGTTAGAAACGATGAGCGTTTAAAAGGAGTAACTGTAGGTGGAAGGAAAGTTGTGATCTCTGCATATGCAGATGACATAACTGTTTTTATTAAATCTAAAAATGAATTAGATGCAATATTTGAACATTTTAAAATGTATGAACAAGTATCAGGAGCAAGACTAAATGTCTCCAAATCTGAATGTGTTTGGATAGGGAATCCTGAAAATAAGTTTGTGTTTAATATACCAGAAACTCAAAATTTAAAGGTTTTAGGAATTTGTATAAACAATAAAGATTGTGTCGAGAATAATTGGAATGGAAAAGTAGAAGTTATAAAAGAAGGTGAGTAAATGGAAAAATTGTGATTTAAGCTATAAAACTAGAAAAAATATAGTTAAGACTTATATTTTATCAAAAATTTTATTTTTATCTTGCATGTTTCCACCTACGGATAAATGTCTCAAAATTGTGAATAAATTATGTTGTAATTTTATATGGGATTCCACTAGAGAAGTAACAAAACGAAACTTGCTATGTAAGAGGAAAGATTTGGGGGGATTAGGAGCCATAGATATCGCCATTAAAACCAAAATCTCTGTGTATAAAATCTTTGCAAATGGTATAAATAGACAAGCAGATTGGATTGGAAATATTACCAACTGGAAACAAAAAAAAGGGTCGTGCTAGAACATCAGTACCCTATTATAAGTTGTTATATGGTGATTTTATAAACAAATACAAAAATTTAGATATCAATTGGATTAATGATTCAAATAAAAAGATATATGGGTTAATAACTGATGGAGAGTATGGCTTAAAGGTAGAACTTAGAAACCTTGTAGGAGAAGAAAATGACACGTGTATTAAAAATCTTCTATGTAAAAACTCTCTGACAGACAGGGAGATCTCTCATGGCTGATGGCCGTAAGAAGGCTGCCAGTGAGAGCTGTAGTAAGATGGAGCTGCTTTGTGAAAACCACTTTATGCCGCATGCCAAATTGCCAAGAAGAGACTTTAGACCATTTTTTATTCAATTGTTATCGCTCTCAAGAAGTGTGGGAGATGGTTAAGGATATGGGTTTAGAAATAAATATACATATGAAATCTATAATATATGGGATTTTTGATGAAAAAGTAGATAACAGGAAACATGAGTTCTTGTGGTTTATCATCGCTATTGTAAAGTCTAAACTTTGGAAAACAAGATGTCGGATGACCATAGAACAACAATTCGTGTCCAGCAGAGACGTTTTTAAACAAGTTAAAATTGAACTAAAGAAACTGCGGATGTTGAACACGCCATTCAAAGACACTGACTTATGGGACATTTTTAAATTGTAAAGTGTTATGGTATGTATATACTGTCTTTATTATGCTCTGTCTGTTTATATTTTGAATTGTTGCTAACTAAATAAAGTTTCTCTTAAAAATAAAAAAAAAAGGAAAGGGAGGTAAAGGTCTTGGTAAAGGATGCGCTAAGCGTCACCGTAAAGTGCTCCGCGATAACATCCAAGGCATCACCAAACCGGCTATCCGCCGTCTGGCTCACCGTGGCGGGTCTGATCTGTGAGGAGACCCGCGGCGTGCTCAAGGTGTTCCTGGAGAACGTGATCAGGGACGCCGTCACCTACACCGAGCAGGCCAAGAGGAAGACCGTCACCGCCATGGATGTGGTTTACGCCCTGAAGCGTCAGGGACGAACCCTGTATGGCTTCGGAGGTTAAACGCTCGACTCGAACAACGTGACGTAAGTCATCAAACCCAACGGCTCTTTTAAGAGGCATTCACGTTTCCGCTTAAAGAGCTTTTCCGTAATGTGATTTAAAGCATGAGTCACAGCACGTAAGAGAACTTGGGTTGACTAGGACAGTTGCTCTTTCGAGCTGGAACAGTAAGGTGGCTCTTAAAAGAGCCTTTGTGGTGATTCTGGGAAACCTGGGAGTGCTCTGTTTAATTTAAGCACGGTGACTCTCTTGGCGTGGATGGCACACAGATTACTGTCCTTGAACAGACCCACCAAGTAAGCCTCGCCAGCCTCCTGCAGGACCATGACAGCAGAGCTCTGGAAGCGGAGATCGGTCTTGAAGTCCTGAGCGATCTCCCGCACCAGGCGCTGGAAGGGCAGCTTACGGATCAGCAGCTCTCGGGTGATCGGGTGCCACTGCCGTGCAAACCTCACCCCCACAACCTGACCCCACTGATGCTGCTGCTGCATGAACTAAACTATTCAAATTAATTGTTTGCTCCACCTTTTACCCTGTTTTTGTATTATAATACTTTATACTAACAATGTTTACTATCCGGTGTCAACCAGAGGAGGATGGGTTCCCCTTCTGAGTCTTGGTTCCTCTCCAGGTTTCTTCCGGTTTCTCTTAGGGAATTTTTCCTTGCCACTGTCGCCACTGGCTTGCTCATGGGGGCCTGGACCCGGATTTCGTTTTAATGCTCATTTCCTTGTAAAGCTGCTTTGTGACAACACCTGTTGTAAAAAGCACTATATAAATAAACTTACTTACTTACTCTGTGGATTTCTGGTAACGGTGGATCTCCCTCAAAGCCACGGTGCCGGGCCTGTAACGGTGAGGCTTCTTCACGCCGCCGGTGGCCGGGGCGCTCTTACGAGCAGCCTTATTAGCCAGCTGCTTCCTCGGGGCTTTGCCACCGGTGGATTTACGGGCGGTCTGCTTGGTTCTTGCCATGTTGTCGACCTTTACTCTTATTTAATAAAGAACTAGAATAAGTTTGCGCACATACCGCGGCCCTTTTAAGCATTTGAGCTGCTCGTCTTGAATGTGCCCTGTTTCCCATTGGTCGGCTCCCCACGCTTTAGCTAAACGCTATTGGGCGTCTTGAATGTGCCTGCCTCCCCACGTGTTTGCTAAACACTATTGGGCGTCTTCTGCCACTCCAACATTTTCAAATCACAAGACACTGCCCAACGTCTTGGCTGTACCACATTCTTATTTTTTCTTTCTTACACGTGTAATGTTGCTCAGATTTTTGGTTCACTCATGATTACACGCCTGTTGTTTCACCTTCAGTTGCGTAGTTATATAGACGTTTAGGTAGGTTTAAACGCTTATGTGTTGGAGCAGGATGAAAGCTTCTAAATTTTATTCAGTATGCAATCGTGGGACGTGGTGATGCTGTGATCTGTATTTCATTCTAATGTACACAATAACCTGTAAGAGTCGATCGACGGCCATTTTTTTCCAATTTATTTTTTTGCATGGAAGACAAAGATAGAAAAACTGCACTTTTCTTGTTAAAATGGGTGGCTCTTAAAAGAGCCTTTGGTTTTCATAGTTCAGCAAAAACTATAAATATATTAGCGTCGTCAACCTTTAGGGTCCGCAGACTGTTCCTCTCCAAGCCCTCTGCTTCTCCCCCTCCCCTTCGTGTGTGTGTGTGTGCGAGAGAGAGAGAGAGAGATACTTTGGAAGATAAAGATGAATTATTGATTATATTAGGAAGTCCATCAGTGTCCACTGCAGCCAGATATGTACGAGTGCCATTCACTCCAGGACAGTGAGTGACCACCAAACCACAACCTTGCCTTTTACTCAGTTATATATGTATATATGAAATATAGGTGTGCTTTTTTGCTTTTCTTTTTTCACTTCTTAATTACAAAAACATTCTCTCATGTTATGTGCTGCATAATATCAAAGAACATACCAAATAGGTTTTATTATTGTATATACTTTTATATTATTAATTGACGACATTTTCTCTTCTTGTTTTATCAATATTTTTGCTGTGCTTTGGTAATACTAATAGATAATAATAATAGATGAAGGCAAAGAAGGAAACAAAGAAAAAGTCCCTGTTTCGTCGCTGTTTTTCTACCCCATTCCCGCTCCTATTCTCATCCATGTAAATGCAAATAGCAACTGGATTATTATATCGAACCTGGCGCTTTCCAATAAAATCACTACTGACTAGTAGTGACTAGTTTTTAAGTGCAGCACGAAGGAGAATCTAACTCTGAGAGGAAAATGTGGGTGGCTCTTAAAAGAACCGTTTTTTCAATAAGAGAAACAGGACATGAAGGTGAACGGCACGTTTACTTCTTTTTGGGTGCGGCCTTTTTCGCCACCTTGGGCTTCGCTGCTTTGGGCTTGACGGCCTTTGTTTTCTTCGGGCTCTTGGCCGCCTTCTTCGGGGCCGCCGGCTTCTTGGCTGTCTTTGGAGACTTGGCGACTCTCTTGGCGGCCGCGGGCTTCTTGGCCGCGGCGGGCTTTTTGGCGGCCGCCTTCTTGGGTTTGGTCACTGCTTTCTTCTCCGGCTTCTTTTTGGCCTCGGCTTGTTTCTTGTTGAGCTTGAAGGAGCCCGACGCGCCGGTGCCTTTGGTCTGCACCAGAGTGCCCTTCGTCACGAGACTCTTGACGGCGATCTTGACGCGGGAGTTGTTCTTGTCCACGTCGTAGCCGCCGGCAGCCAGGGCTTTCTTGAGGGCGGCGAGAGACACGCCGCTCCTCTCCTTGGACTGCGAAACAGCCTTGACAATGAGCTCGCCGACGCTGGGGCCGGCCTTCTTGGGCCGAGCGGCGCTTTTCTTCTTGGGAGCTTTGGCCGGCGCGGCGGCTGGAGCGGGAGCGACTTCTGCCATCGTTCTGCTTTTGCTGCGACCGGAGCAACAACGAGCTCAGACTGCACTGTTCAGAGGAACCTCCTTCTCAGGCGCGGAGCCGGCCACTTAAAAGGCACATGAGAACGGGTTAGACTCAACCAGGCGGGCGCTTTGCAGCCGTGCCTCAGTGACGCGCTCAGATTTGTGTTTTCTCGTGGCATTTATCGGGCAAAATACGAGCGAAAGCGCCGCTCGGCGAGCGTCCAGCGGCTCTGCTGTGTGTCCTGAGTCCAGGAATGGGCGCGCAGCGACGCCTCGTTTTACAGAGCGCTCTCCAAAGGGCGCTGGGCGGTCGCCGCTCCGAACGAGAGACGGCGTATTTGGCGCAATAATCCCTGGAAAACGGCGGCATATGGCGGCGTGATCTTTCGGAGAGCGCCTCAGCGAGGACGTGGGCGAACTTCCAGCGACCGAGCGCCCCGTTGACTATGTGTAAAACGGGCTCTCTTCGAGCGAGTAAAGCACACGCATGAGGCCGGCGGCCGCCGGGGCCAGAGTCTGCTCTCTGCTGATGTGCTGTTGTAAAAAACGCCATGTAAATGAACTTTGGCTTGACTAGTGGGAAATAACCCGAAGCTCATATGGGAAATATTTAGATATGAAAAAATGTTTAGGCTAATTAAAACTAATAAGTGATTTTAATCATAGCTATGATTATTTTTGAAAATATATTTTACTTCTTGGTTTGGAAATAGTGGAATAATTCTTGATATTAAAAAAATAACGATGTTAATAATGACGTGAAAGATAATCAAAGAAACTATGTAAGGTTTGGAAATAATGGTGCTCAATGTAGTCATGAAAGTTGGAGCTAATGGTGTGTAAATCAAAAGGTTTGAAATATTTGGGAAGAGTAAGCAGGGGTCATTATCTCACTCTGACCTCAGCAAAATTCAAGGTCTTGCCCTGAATCTACTTTCACTTTATCTAGGGTTAACTTCACCATAAACCTCAAAAAAGGCCTAACTCGAAATGTACTATTACTCTAACTACGTGTTAAGCTTGAGGCCTAGCTGTAAGGCTAATTTGGCCTGCTCTAACTACAACATGAGCATAAAGCGTAGTTCTGTACCTGATTTTAATTTTATAGCTTCATCATAAGTCTAATGGAGTGCTATAGATCTCAGTTCACTCACTCTTACTCCTTCACAAGCCTGAGGCCCTGCCCTAAGCATACTTTGACATTATTTAACTCTAGCACTATAATGTCTTGTTCTCACGCTACACTATAAGCTCAGGGCCTCCTTCTAAACCTACCATCATTTACTCTGTCTAGGCCTGAGGTCTAGCTGGAAATCTCATTTTGCTAACTCTAACTTCTTTAGCAGCCTTAGACCTTGCCTACACTGACTTTTACAATCTCTTATTTATTCATAAACTTAAGGCTGAGCTCTCCAGCAGCTCTTACTTAAGCTATCTACATTATAAGCCTGAGGCCTCGCTGAACGCTTACTTTTGCTTGCATTAGGTTCATCATAAGCATAAGACTTAAAATATACACAAAGTAAGTAACAGGGCTCATAGAGCTAGGCCTTAGATTTATGCTTTATCCTAACTTCCTCATGAACCTAAGGCCTTGCATTGAAGCCACTGTTACTTATTTTGCTAAAATAAAGGCACAAGGCCTAGTTAGAGGCCTCCCTTTGCTTACTCTGTCTTTGTCATTAGCCTTAGGCCTTGCCCTAAACCTATTATGACATTCTCCAACTTGATCCAAGGCCTAATATTACTTACTCTAACTACATTCTGAGCCAGAGTACAGCTGAAAAGCTTAATTTTGGCTTAATCAGACTAGATAATCAGCTAAAAGCCTAGCTCTGTACCTGCTGTCATTTCTATCACTTCATTGTAAGTCTAACGGCTCGCTATACATCTCAGTTCACTCACTCTTGTCCCTTCACAAGCCTGAGGCCCTGCCCTAAGCTTACTTTAACATCATTTAACTGCAGCTCCATAGCTATTGCTGCTCACTCTAACCTACTATCATTTACTCTATCTACATTTTAAGCATTTTAAGTACATTCATACTTCTGCAGGATATGAAATATAACCTTTTTTGTATATTCATTAATTAGCCATAAATGTTATTTTTAATGCAGTTTCATAGTTCTTTCCATTTGTAACACACACACACTGACCTCTTCTTATTCCCCTGTGCAAAAGCTTTCAAATGTATAAACACACACACAAAAGGAGAACATTAAAAGGACATGTAAGTAAATCTCTTATAATACAAATATACGTAAATGTGCACACTGATTTTTATTCATGAATATGTGCATGTAAAGAACGAAAGGAAGGTTTAGAAGCATTATAACTAAAAACAAAGCCTCTCAAAGACACATCAATTGGTATACATGTGTATATGCGCTTATATTTTCATTTTACCTCAAGCTGTACCATAACGCACACACGAGTGACTGTGGTCCAACTAAGAAATTACGTGGCAAAACTCACTGGAATGCGGCAGAACCCTAGTTCATGTTTCTCCCCACCTCCGCAGAAATATCGTGCTTTCCTTGACATTCACAAAACAGAAAAAGCTCTTTAAGCGGAAACGTAAGTGTCTCTTAAAAGAGCCGTTGGGTTTGATGAAGTTTGCGTCACTTCTTACTTTGAGCTCGTGTACTTGGTGACGGCCTTGGTGCCCTCGGACACGGCGTGCTTGGCCAGCTCATCGGGAAGAAGCAGGCGCACGGCGGTCTGGATCTCCCTGGACGTGATGGTGGAGCGCTTGTTGTAATGAGCCAAACGGGACGACTCACCGGCGATGCGCTCGAAAATATCGTTGACGAACGAGTTCATGATGCCCATCGCCTTGGAGGAAATGCCGGTGTCGGGGTGGACCTGCTTCAGCACCTTGTACACGTAAATAGCGTAGCTCTCCTTTTTGGACTTTCTGCGCTTCTTGCCTCCCTTACCAGCCGTCTTGGTCACGGCTTTCTTTGAGCCCTTCTTCGGGGCGGACTTGGCGGGTTCAGGCATGGTTTTCTTTTCTTCGAGTAAAACTGAAAAATGAGAAAGAGCGCCCCGCACCGGCTTATCTAGACTCCGATATTCAAATTATAGCTCCGCCCTTCTGAATGCAGACAAACGGTCATTGGACAAATATTAACGGTTCACTTGGCGGACAACTCCCAGCCCCCCCACCAACTAAAACTTTTCATTTGTTCACCTTCCCGCGCATTCTTAGCTACTGGGTATCACGTACAATACAGATGTCCTTATCAGGTTTATTCCAAATATACCGAGATTTTTAAATCCTTCTTTACACACAAACACACGAAAATGTCATGCCCATCACGAACCTCACGAAAGTGCATGAAATAAAATGCCAGCACAATTTTAAACATGTTTAGGGGGCCTTCAAGCCAGTTAAAGATTCACCACCACTCGTTATTCTGGTGTTAAATCAAGGTCACTCTGTCTTGAAAAAGTAAAATCACTATGGAGGCAAAGTTTGGTGTTTTCATTATTATTGGGCCATAAGCTCTTCTGGTGGGGGTGTGGGGGGGCTCTTAAAAGAGCCGTTGTGTTTATCGTTGTTCGAGTCGAGCGCTTAACCTCCGAAGCCGTACAGGGTTCGTCCCTGACGCTTCAGGGCGTAAACCACATCCATGGCGGTGACGGTCTTCCTCTTGGCGTGCTCGGTGTAGGTGACGGCGTCCCTGATCACGTTCTCCAGGAACACCTTGAGCACGCCGCGAGTCTCCTCGTAGATCAGACCCGAAATACGCTTAACGCCGCCACGGCGAGCCAGACGGCGGATAGCTGGCTTGGTGATGCCCTGGATGTTATCGCAGAGCACTTTGCGGTGACGCCTAGCGCCTCCTTTACTGAGACCTTTACCTCCCTTTCTTTCTTTTTTTTATTTTTAAGGGAAACTTTATTTAGTTAGTAACGATTCAGAATATAAACAGACAGAGCATAATAAAGACAACGCATATATATATATATATATATATATATATATATATATATATATATACATACCTTAACACCTTACAATTTAAAAATGTCCCATAAGTCAGTGTCTTTGAATGGCGTGTTCAACGTCCGCAGTCTCTTTAGTTTAATTTTAATTTGTTTAAAAACGTTTTCGCTGGAGACGAATTGCTGGTCTATGGTCATCCGACATCTTGTTTTCCAAAGTTTAGACTTTACAATAGCGATGATAAACCACAAGAACTCATGTTTCTTGTTACCTACCTTTTCATCAAAAATCCCATATATTATAGATTTCATATGCATATTTATTTCTAAACCCATATCCTTAACCATCTCCCATGCTTCTTGAGAGCAATAACAATTGAATAAAAAATGGTCTAAAGTCTCTTCTTCTTGGTAATTTGGCATGGGGCATAAAGTGGTTTTCACAAAGCAGCTCCATCTGACTACAGCTCTCACTGGCAGCCTTCTTACTGCCTTGTTTGTACTATGTTTATTCTAGTTTTATAGCTTAAATCACAATTTTTCCATTCACTCACTTCTTCTTTTTCATAACTTCTACTTTTCCATTCCAATTATTCTCGACACAATCTTTATTGTTTATACAAATTCCTAAAACCTTTAAATTTTGAGTTTCTGGTATATTAAACACAAACTTATTTTCAGGATTCCCTATCCAAACACATTCAGATTTGGAGACATTTAGTCTTGCTCCTGATACTTGTTCATACATTTTAAAATGTTCAAATATTGCATCTAATTCATTTTTAGATTTAATAAAAACAGTTATGTCATCTGCATATGCAGAGATCACAACGTTTCTTCCACCTACAGTTACTCCTTTTAAACGCTCATTGTTCCTAACTTTTGTGATCAAAGGACTTATTGCCAACACATTAAGAGCTGCACTAAGAGGGCAACCTTGCTTTACATCCCTCATAACTTCAAAGGAATCTGTCAAATTGCCATTCACATTAATCTGTATATTGCCTTTGGCATATAAACACATGATCATTTTAATAAAATTATCAGGAAAATTATACATTCTAAACACTTCCTATAAATAAGTTCTAGAGACATAATCAAAAGCTGTTTTTTCCTATCAAGAGTAACAATATAAAAACTTTCACCACTCTCATATACCAGTTGTCTTGAAGTATTCAAATTATCCCACATAGCTCTCCCTTATCTCTACCAGAAATTTTATTAAGTTCATTTTCTAGTCACTGTGAAAATAATGAATGGCAAACCCGTGCGCCGTACACGTCTTTTGTCCTCCTCTACAGGACCTAGTTGAAACCAAGGCACGGGAGACGGAGCCACACACAACAGACACTACAGAGAAAACAGCAACACGATGGAATCAAGGAAAACACACAAAGCAAACACTGTCATGAAATAAACATCACTCGTATTATTTTAACTATTACTGTGATCAATACCATTAAATAAACCATGATTTTTTATATATAAATTGTAAAACATTTCGTCTTAATTAAAATAATAATAATAATAATAATTACAAGTCACAGTGCGTTAAACTAGGCTGCTCTAAATGTAAAGCAACACACTGTTATGGAATAAGAAGTCTGTAAGAATAAAAAAACACCAAAAAACGTTTAATTATGCGTGTGTGTGTGTGTGTGTGTGTGTGTGTGTTATATATTACTACGTATGAGACCGTTTATGTAGAAAATAAGTGCTACAGCTCTCATGCACATGTCAGTGATGAAGCTCGGGCGCCATCCTGTGAACTGGCAAGTCCGACAAAGACCATTAGACTCCTTATTGTAAAGGCTGAACTACTGTATGAAATGATGCAGTTTGGTTGTTGTAATTACTCTACAATTGTTGTCATTTTATTCCAATTTCATTTACGCAGCCTCACAAGTACAGTAATTCAAGGAGTCACTCAGTAACACAATATTTCCACATTTGAAAATATCTCTTATGCTACGATTTGCGGGTTCACTTTTTGACCACACGATGGCATCCAAGCTCCATCGGTGACAAATCGCCCCCAGCCCAACCTTCTGTTCATTTGAAAAATGAAAAATGAAGAAATAGCTTCGTTTTACAATTTCACAAACTAACCATAAAATCAAATAACAAACAAACAAACAATAATAAAGGATCATAATATGATGTGAGGAAATATGCGAGCAGACTGCACGTGTGTTCGCAGAAGCCTAGAAATCACAGAAATCAGGTGATTGCGGGTAAAAATGATAAAAACAGGTAAGATCTGGCATTAGTGTTGAGCAGACAGGCCCAATCCAGGCATTCTGGGAGACTATATGATGTTTTTACAGCTGTTTCTATATCTGATGTAGTTACTGTATCAGTAAAAACTGAAGCGATATGAGGAAGAGACTCTTAAAGACTCCCGCTTTAACAGCGAAATCATAGAGAAATGAAAGTCCCGCTGCTCAGTAATGATGATTAACACTGTAATGTGGCGCCGTTAGAGGTGAACTTAATAGCGTCTGTGTTTCTGCTCCAGATGTTGTGGAAAAAGTTATTTGCAGCTTTGCTCCAGATTTGGAGACTTAAATAAAGCCCAAAACAGCAGGATTAGCAGGAAAAAGCACAATTTGCCTTTATTGAGATTGAGATTGAGACTCTCCAGCAAACAAGCGTTAATCTGAGTTGGCCCAGGGGTCACCTGACAAACCCACACACATCCACGCTTTTTATACTTTTTTGGGCAAGCAGGGGCCGACACCTGTGTCACGCATCCCCCTGGTTCTAACTCTCTGTAGGACGCCATTTCCTCTGAGTGAACACATGACCGTGACGTCGTCCCACACTACCTATCAGAGATCTGCCTCACTGGAATGCTGATTCTGTCCACCTGTGCTAGGTGTCATATAGGTAGTTAGGATAGTCAGTAAGCCGGGCTTTAGCTTTGGTCATTGCGAGGTGTTGCTTCTGTCCAGAGCTACTGAGCGTTCCGTTCCATTACGTTCCGCTCCGTTGTTTGACTGTGCCTTTGTCGCATTGTCCCTATGTCCCTCCTTTTTGATTTTCACACCATTTTCTCAAAATTCACAGTCACTTTGACCTTATTTACAAACTTTAGATCATTTCGAATTTTTGCCTCATTATTCACGTCGTTACTAACGTCATCATTTTTTTTCTTATCAAAAATGCTTCCCTTATTTCCAAGCCAAGACGCAAAGTATTTTTTTTAATTTATTTATTTATTTATTTATTTATTTATTTATTTGTTTGTTTGTTTGTTTGTTTAGGCTGAAGCCACTCAGGCCTTTGAGCTTTATTTGCTTTATCTATTATTTTACATTTATGTGTTTTTCCAATTAAATTTCTGCTTCATCTGTGGTTCTCTTTTTCAATGACATATTAAATACTTTATGGTACAAACAGCGTCTTACTGTGTGTGTGTGTGTGTGTGTGTGTGTGTGTGTGTGTGTGTGTGTGTGTCTCCCTCCAAGTCAAAGATTTTGATGAGGCCTTCTTGGCACACAACACTACACCTTCTTGTTCCACACTCAAGGTCCCTCACGGACACACACACACACAGACACACAAGAAACACACCAATCACAGTTTCTGAGAATCAAAAAGTGTGGCTGTGTTCGGAATTAAAAATGCTGACATTGTATTAGTTGATTTCATTTAATTTATTAAATAAATACTTCAGTTTGATGCTATGTAAATTTTTTTTTCTAAATTGATCTGCTGCTGATACACTGATACTACTACTACTACTACTACTACTACTACTACTACTAATAATAATAATAATAATAATAATAATAATAATAATCATCATCATCATCATCATCTGAAAATGTTACACAAGACATGCATAAAAATGCAGTTTCCTTTTATAACTCCTTTTGCAGAAATTAAAACAACTGAAATGAACTGATATTGAGAGTGGTGATCAGAGTGCTGTTATAAGGAAAAGAATATATGTGTTGAAACATTACTTCACAAACATTCGTATAAGCAAAGAGAAGCTCAGAGCATTTAGTGAAGTGTAACTGTACTGTAGATGAATTTAGATACTTAATGAAGAGTTTCTGACACTTTAGTGTTTTATCTGCTCTGTCACACCTGATTCAGCTACTAAACTAGTGCATATTGACTGGAACAGGCAAATCAGAAAAAAATCTAGTTCTGCTGTGGAGCTGTAACAGAGCAGTAAAAGAGCCGTGTGTTGCCGACCCCTGCCTTAGCTAAAGTGGAAAAAGCATTTTCGTAATAGACTATTACTAATGGTACTGCACAGAGCCAGCGTCACTGATATAAATGTAGAGGCTGAAGTGTTGCTGAAGTTTAACAGGACTCTGAATGTCCTGTCTGTCTGTTTAAATTGGAGCAGTTTTATTTTAACAGTTGACAGTGCTTTGCACAAAATTGTTTGGTTATTTATATATACGGTTATATTTGTTGATTTTTGTTACAACCGCATTTCCAAAAAAAACTTGGGATGCTGTGCAGAATGGAAATAACAATATGATGCACTGATATGCAAATCATGTAAACCATATTTTATATAAAAATATATGTCCATTTTGAATTTGATGCCAGCGACATGTTCCAAAAAAGTAAGGATGGGGGCATGTTTACCACTGTGTTTCATCACCTCTTCTTTTACCAACACTGTAAGTGTTTGAGAACTGAGGAGACACTGCTGTAGATTTGAAAGTGAAATGTTTTCTCATTCTTGCTTGATACAGGATTTCAACAGTTCAAGGTCACCTTTGTTGGATTTTTCATTTCATAATGAGCCAAATGTTATAAGTGGGTGACTGTATGCTGTACTGTTGTAATACATGCAGAGTGTGGTTTGGCACTGTCTTGCTGAAAAGTCAAGGTTTTCCCTGAAAAAGACGTCTCAATGGCAGCATATGTTGCCTAAACATGTATATATCATTCAGCATTAATGGTGCCTTCACAGATGTGCATATCACCCATACCATGTGCACTAATGCCACCATCATGAATATTGGCTTTTGAACTGTGCACTGATAACAAGCTGAGTGGTCTTTAGCCCGAAGGACACAGTGTCCATGATTTCTAAAAAGAATTTCAAATGTTGATTCGTTGGCCCACAGGACACTTTTCCACCCCCTCAGTCCATTTTAAATGAGCTCAGGCCCAAAGAAGGTGGCAGCGTTTCTGAATCCTGTTTATTTACAGTTTCTTCTTTGCATTTCAGAGTTTTAACTGGCATTTGTGGATGCAGTGACAAACTGTTTTCACAGACAGTGGTTTTCAGAAGTGTTTCTGAGCTCATGCAGTGATTTCCACTACAGAATCACGTCTGTCTGTCAAAATCTGGCCTTGTCCCTTGCATACAGAGATTTC